AACATACTAAAATCAAATGACAAAAATAAAATAAAAAAAATTGAATAAATGAAATAAAATAAAACAAAATAAAATTAAATGACATAAATAAAAATAAAATAAAATAAAACAAAATAAAATAAAACGAAATCAAACATAATAAAAGAAAATTAAAATAAAATAAAATAAATTAAAATAAACTAAAATCTATGTCATTTGATTAAAAAAAATAATAAAAAAATAATATAAAATAAAAAAATAAAATATAATAAAATAAAATAAAAAAATGAAATTAAATAAAATAAAATAAAATAAGATAAATTTAAAAATTTAAACGAATATGAAAAATAACTGAATTTGTATTTATTCAAAACATAATACATTAAAATAACACGACTAATATAAAGTAAAATTAAATAAAATACAATAAAACAATATAAAATAAAAATAAAAGTTATTAGAACAAAGAAAATAATTATAATAATCTAAACAAAAGTAAAATAAAATGAAATAAAATAAAATAATTTTTTATTGAAAAAGTAAAATAAAAAAATAATATTAAATAAAATTAAATATAAAAACAATAAAATGATATGAACGAAAATAAAATTAAATTAAACAATTTAATAAAGAATAAAATAAAATAATTCTAAAAATTAAAAAGGATTAAAAATTAGAATAAAAAATAAAACAAAAAATAAGTAAACAAGATAATTATAAAAAATATAAATAAATAAAAACTAAATGAAATGAAACAAAAAAGTTTAAATACAGTAAATTAAAATTTAATATATTGAAATATATTAAAATAAAAAAATTAAATAAATAAATACAATAATAAAAAACCAAATACAATATAATATCATAAAATAAATTTTATGAAATGAAATGCAATAAAATGAATAAATTCGAAAGTAATAAAGTAAATTAAAAAAAAAATACTAAAATAAGTTACAACAACTAAATAAATATTCAAAAAAATTAAGTAGTCTACCGTCCGTTGCATCTACAAATCTACCAGTAATTAAGTTTTTAATTAATTTCACATTGAATTTAAGAAATAAAATAAAGTACAATAAAATAAAATTAACAATATAACCGCTTTCTTCAGAACATACGGAAAACTTTATACCTTTAATTTATGGTATTTAATTTTAAAATAAAAATTATTTCTCAAATCCATATGAAGAAGTTTTCCGATTTCCACCTTTTTTTACGATTTTATACCGAAAATCTCACATCTAAAGATGATTGATAGGGTCATGCGATTTTCTGTAACAATGGTTATTTGTAGGTACGAATGTAGAATACCGTATTTCGTACTCTTAGATGCTTTATTGATGGATTTATGGCTAAAAACGTCATATTTGAAAAACTCGGTGTATGGGGGATATATCAGAGAACGTCAAATAGCAAAAAGGACCGATTGCGGACAGCATGTGAACTGCCGACAGAAATTGACACTGTTTGTCAACATTTCTGAGCAAGATAATAATAAATTAATAAAATAATTGTCTCCGAAATATCATTCTTCTGTAAATAATTTGTCAGTGTCTGGTAGTTCGCTGTTAACTAGCGGTGAAATAGTCTCTTACTAATATCACGCCCCGGTCCTTCTCTTTAATATACGCTCTCTGGACATATGTAAGCTATTGTCGTCCGATTTCGGTTATTTTCAGCGCCAATATGCTATTCATCATGCTTGGGCGGAATTTCACGCTCATAGATGCTTTGATTGGCAAATTTACAACCCAAAACCTCAAGCCTTGAGTTCGGTCGTAGGTTTTATAGAGGCCCTTCTAGTCGATTCCGACAAATTATCGCTTAAACGAGCACAAGGACTTCAGTATACATTTTGATGAATCTAGCTCTACTCCTTGTGGTACTTACCTACTTCGGACTGAGGTTAATATGCCAGTTCATAAACATGGTATAATAAATCCATATAAAATAAGAACACTGGACAAAACTTGACTAAATTAGTATAACTTGAGTTTGTATAGTTTTTTTTTTTCAATATCAATTTTCTTAAGATCTGCTTGAGTACTTTATGCTAGAATCGAAAATTTTGTCTTAATAAATTTATAATGTTAAGAAATGTAAAATTTATGTTATTTGTATTTGCAAAGTGATTAAAGCTCCTTCAACGAAAACTTTTTATTAGCAATATTTTACTAATTTAATCGCAAATAAATAATCTATTCACAATTTTATATTAGATAAGCCAGTTTAACGCTTTAGTGTAAATGCGTTATTATGTTTTCGAGTTTTCACAAAAGAAATTTAATCATTTGCTGATAATTTGTTATTAATACGTGTGTCCAAAAAGCATGGCCAATATGAATGTTTGCCATTTAATTCTTATCACTCCATATATACAAACATATACTAAATGATTAAAACTGAAATTTTAGCAGAACAGTCCTAAGTAAACGCGTGATATACACATACATACAAATGTGCATTTACCATCTGTTTTCACGGTAAGCAAATTTTTAAAAATCATGCGAAGCGTAAATAACAAAATCAAAAAGCAGAAACCACAAGAAACCAGATTTATTTAGCAGGTTTATCGCTTTAAATCAAATCACTTGTTGCTACTAGGGGCTTATTATTGCACCTCTTCTATGAAAGTATAGAATTATATACACTTTTTCTTTCAGTTGACTGTGATAAGACTGAAATCGTCATTAAATATTGACCTTTCGCCGCCACCGACGCATTACATGTGAAGCACATTAATCCCTCAAAACAACACCTTAATATCTAAATGGGTACATAATATGGCGGAGAAATTAAATAATATCTGTGCAAGTGATAAACATCTACTCAAATATTTCAGATTACGAAATCAAGGGAAAGTTATACGTTTATCAAAGTGCAAACATACCCACCTACTCAGAACACAGATTTAAAAGTAAATTTTTAGATGTAACTATATTTTTATTTAATTTAATTTTATTATACTTTCATTTAATTTTTTTTAATTCTATTTTATTTTCTTTTATGTTATTTACTTTTTATTTTAATTTTTTCATTTCATTTCTATTCATTTCATTTTATTGTATTTCATTCTACAATATTTTAATTTACTTATTTTATTTTATTTTAATTTATTTTAATTTATTTTATTTCATTTTATTTTATTTTATTTTATTTTATTTTATTTTATTTTATTTTATTTTATTTTATTTCATTTCATTTCATTTTATTTTATTTTATTTTATTTCATTTCATTTCATTTTATTTTATTTTATTTTATTTTATTTTATTTTATTTTATTTTATTTTATTTTATTTTATTTTATTTTATTTTATTTTATTTTATTTTATTTTATTGTATTTTATTTTATTTTATTTTATTTTATTTAATTTTTTTATTTTATTTTTTTATTTTATTTTATTTTATTTTATTTTATTTTATTTTATTTTATTTTATTTTATTTTATTTTATTTATTCAAATCTTATTATCTTTTTACTCATTTGCTTTAATTTAATTTTATTTATTATTTTTGTATTTAATTAAATTTTATCTTTTTTATTTTATACATTTTATTTTGTTTAATATAATTTCTTTTAGTTTAGATTTTTTATATTTAATTAGTTTGTTTCTATTATCATACTCCCGTTTCTTTCAATTTTAATTTAGTTCGATTAAATTTTTTGTTATTTTAACGAAGCTTTTGATTAAATATCAATTCATGTTTGAATGTATGTATGGATCTACAGCCTAGTGGAGTAACTGAATATACTCATAAGTCAATAAATTTGCAAAAATTTGTATATACAAACATTCGATCGTACGGTTGTATGTGGAACAGACGTCAGTATGTTTACGAACCAAAGTTCATGTTTGCAGTTAACAGCTGCCGGTCCGGCCCCATTCTGTTAATATATTGCATATGGTATATTGTATGTTATATATGTGCATATGCAAGAGTGCATCAACTGCACTGCAACGCTAATGAACTGAATTGGAAACCTTGGTTGTGATTTAACGTTCAAATATTTTTTTTTCGATTTTATGTTCCACTTGATTATGTAAACGCATTTATTTTATTGAAAAAATAATCCATACCTAACATGTGTTGAAAGGTATGCATGACTACAAATGCATATAAACATATAGATGTACATACGTATGTGCACATAAGGTATGTGTTTTATACTCTATTTGTATACAGACAAGTGTATGTCTGGCGGCCAGTTCGATCAATAAATGGAGAGTATTTTAAACAAGCCTACGATAAAAATACTAATATATTTTTTTATATGTATTTCATATCAATAAAACTTCAGAACACAGGGTATTCAAATTAGTTTTCAATGATAAAAAATATGGTTTATTTGGAGAATACCAATAAATTAATCATATAAAGATAAAAGTGTGTTAGACTTTTGCATGTTCGGGATAGTTCTTTTTTTATTTATTTGAGGTTTCCTCTGGCATTTTATTCAATGACATTAAATTTCTTGCTATCTCACAAATCTAGTTTTGTTGAGCGTGAAATTTTGCGATATTAAGTTTGAACGATTTCATGGATTCGGTTAAATTCATTAACAATGCTGGTTGACCTGATAGAGGCCTGCATATATGCATATAGTAATATATGTGTGAAATATAAAGAAAATCGAGTTCGTTACAATTTATGGAATATTTTGGGAATTCATAAGAATAAATTTAATTTAGTTATTGAAATTTCAGAAGTTTGAAAAGTATTAGGTAAAGCCATTTATCAACGCTTTGATGGCCCTGCGGGATGGGGGTAAGGCAGGCCTGTCGTAGGATGCTAAAAGTTCTCGCGATAGTCCGGTCTTTATACCGGAACTACCCGGATTTAAACCCGTCCAAAACTGTCACTCCCCTAAAATTCCCCAAAACTACTTTGGGGAATATTTTTCGGCTACAACAACAAATAAAATCAACGCTTTGAAAGCTATAATTCTTATTTCAAAACTTTTCTGTATTTCTTTAATTTTTAAGAGACCCACATTTTTTTTGATCAAATAAAAAACCAATATTTGTTTTCGATTATAACAGTTTATATATTATTGTCTAAATATCGGGGTTTTAGTCCTTCCAGTTTTTACAAATTAAATTGACAACATATTTCTTTTTTTATTTGCGCAAAGTCTATGATGCTCTTAAGTGGCATTTCGATATATTTGTATATGTATGTAGGTATGTATATACATGTGCATTTTGTTATAACTACACAAAAAATTTACAAAATAAAATGTACAATTCACTTATGTATTTAGATATTGTGTATGTAATAATCGATATAGTTAACAAATGTTGGATGCTTTATAACATAAACAACAATAATAATTATATTCTTGTTACAATTTTGTACTTATTATTATTAATGCTTGTTTCCGCGTTTTGCGCTAATTCATTGTGCAATTTACAACTACATGCATACATATGTACATAAATCAATTAAGCATTTATTCACTTTTCTGCTTTTATGCCGCTCAATACAACAAACTAAAATTTTAATACATACACATGTTATTTTACTTAATATTTTTCACAATTATTTGAAGATCCGTTGTACAATTGTTTGCAAAATTAATTATATGTATACAAATAGTTCGAGTCTTTGTTTTTCGCAGACAATTTTTAGCTACTAGCATGTGAATATTTGCACTTCGTTACTGGAATATAGGCAACGTTATATATAGATATTTACTTAGTCGCAGCAAACAAAAAACAACAAAAGGCGCACACGCACCACTAGCTGTCGATATGATTACATCACAATCCACTTGATTTTTCGCTGTTTCGTTTAGCATAATCACGATATGCTTGGTTCATTTGCTCCAGGAAGATGAAGGTCAATACAGTATGTGGTCCCAAGCGACAGAAGTATGGTGTGAAACCTTTCCACAAAGCAAGCACACCTTCTTGACGTGCCACCTTCATTAATACATCGACAGTGCCGCGATATTCTGGTTTCGCACCTTCAGCTGTCTTCATATTCTGTATACGTGTCTTGGCGATGTCTAGCGGCATAGAGGTGATAGTAGTCAGCAGGCCACTCAACATACTTGCACAGAAATGTAGAGCAATGCCTTCTTCCATTTTGAGTGGGCCATTTTTGAAGTAGGTCTTAAATTGTGAGTATGAAGCAAGTTGTGTCATATTCACCACCATAGCGCGTCCCATAGTAGGGATACTGCCACGCCATAATGCGGTAACACCTTCCTCACGCACTATACGTGTCAACGCATTAACCACATTGGTGTAGTTGCGTCTTTCAGCTGGCGGCAAACGTCCATCACTGGCCATGCGAATTAAAGCTACCTCAGCTGGTGTACCAATAAAGGCACCACAAGCGCCAGCTATCACACCCATTGCCATGCTGTCAACTACACCGGGTGAACGTTGGAATTTTGTTTGGAAGATATCCACCAAATAGGTGTAGACGCCAAGTCTACCGGTAGTATATGTAGCCTGACGTAACAAAGCAGCACCGATACCTCTATACAAACCCAATGGGCCTTCATTTTTCACTACTGTCTGTATGCAGTGGAATGAGTTACGATATTCCTTCTTACCACCACCAGCACCAGATATTTGCATTCTTGTCTTAACCAAATCTAGTGGCTGGACAATGCAGGTGGCGCCCATGCCAGCAAGACCGCCAAACAAGAATTTCAAACCATTTGGAATAGGTGCTACTACTTCAGCTGCTACTGGTTTTGCTGCTACCGGCGCAGCTATCGCCACTTTCGCTTCACTTTGATTTGACATTTTGTATTTTTGCAGCAAACCGCGCGACCGCTCAGGAAATCAACGAACTTAGTTTAGGTAATTTAGTAGGCAAGTACCACAATCTTTCCACGACCAACTCAATGCACCAACTAAACTTCGCAAGCACGCAGCACCTCACTTGTAGTTTCTGTCTGGATTTTGGAGCTCTATATAAACGCCAAAGTGATTGAGTAGCAAATTTACTTCAATTGTGCAATTGCCAATATATGTACGTACTGATATTAAATTTATTAAAGAAATTTTGAATTTTTAGTGCAGAGCGTTGCAGTTTCTTTTTTTTTATAAAAGCAAAAGCAGAGCAATAGCCAACCGATAAAACCGAAACTCTGACCGAATAGCAATGAAAACAAATTAAACCAAAAGAAATCTGTCAGTCTATCAGCTCACAAATACAGTTTCATTACATACCACCTGTGTTGCCAACGCTTCAAAGTTATTTAATAACGAAAAGGCGAACACAATTGGGAACTTGCTTCTTAGGTTAATAACTTTTTACATATTCCGTTTCTCAGTCATATATTAAATAAGCAAACATATTTTGGTAAATGTGTGCAGAAAGCAGCATTCAATTGAAAAAGCTCAAGAGTAATTTTATTTACTAAGTACGAAGCAAATCATGGCATCACTGTCCACTGAAGCAGACTGAAGATAGCAGTTTAGCGAGAACGGGCATAGCCGCACCCAAGCACCCTATAAAATCTGCCAATTGGTAGTATTAAGCAGAGCTGTACGAAGTTAAATAATAAAATATTCCTAAAAAGCTATATAAATATATTTGTAAAGCATAAAACTATAGTTTTGGCAAACATTTGAGTTAAAAGCTCAACAAAACAGAGTCAAAATATATTCAAATAAATGTAGCTCACAAGAAATGTTCCTTACCGACGGAAATCGTACGTCGCCAACCCTTGCTGACGTCAAATGGCAATCAGCTGTGCGCAACGAATACGAACAAACCGTACGAAGAGCATAAATGTGAAAAGAGAACTTCGTTTATTTTCGACATAATTCATGCTCTTATATCTCTTTACTATTGACAATCAAACAGTGTTGCATTCTTTAGTTGTTTTTTCCTGTTTTGCTTCCAATGTTATCTTTCACAGCCATACAATTGAAAATTTTCGGCAAAAGAAAAACTTTAATCGACAAAGAAATGCAATATAAACAACATGGCATAGCACAAATCTCTGTACATAGATTTTTTATGTAGACATAAGGAAATTACCTTGCACTTGGCACAGTTGTTGCTCAGAGAGTTCTTTCGGCTCGCACAACTCGACGTAATCACCTTCAAACTATTTTGGGAACGACGCGAAGATATTCATACGCTTTTATGTACACACATATGTATGTATGAATGAATGAATGCACGCATCTGATGTGTGCACGTGTGGGCGGTACAACGAATGACTGCCAAGGCACAGTGAGCTGTTTTGAAAAGTATGAAAACAAAAAATTCAGTGCAATTTTTGAGGTTTATTTGAAGCTTAGATGCGCTTAACTGTTGTAACTGTAAATAACTAAACTTAATTTCGTGGAAATTGGTTTGATAAAATTCGAATTGTTCCGGAAAAAGATAATTACCGTCATGGAAACTATTAGCTTTGAGTCATCTCTTACGACGAATGTTCAATCCGCAGGATTTTAAGTTCTTCTAACAGCCCTGTTCATTTATTTAGCACACAAATTTAATAATACATAAATACTTATTTTATGCTTCCAAGAGCAGACCCATTGTCTGGCAAGAACCTTTATTTTCTTTAAGATCAGGTGTACGCTTAGTCATTTGAAATGCGTGTTGGTTGATCGCCTGGCATTAGTCAAGGTCAAACAATTCTGCATCGTCAAACTATTGCAAATCTATATTAATGTATGTATGTAAAAACGAACGTTAAAAAAGACGATTTGCAATTTTTTTTTCGATTTTTCTGTTTTTTACCATTTTTATGTTTTATAAATATTTTTGTACACATTTTTACATAAATTTTGGCAAATACAAGCAAATTTCGGAAAATAAAAATTACACAAATAGGTAAATAACCTCATATTGAAGACATAAAAAACACATTAGGATATTCAGCATTTCTTTTTATGCCCGGGAAAATGAATTTATTTATAGATCAGTACAGAAAATAAATACGAATACTACTACCACTATCGACCAAGGCCTGCGAGTTTGGGATTCAAGAGACGACTTAAATCCAATAGTTTCCGTTAGTTGGGTCCTTAATCAATTTGGGGAGTATTTTTGCGGCTACTAGAACAACAAAAACGGCTACCGATCAAGGAATTGATACTCCTTGTTGTATTTCCCAGGTTTCACTCTCCTTTTTTGCTCAAAAAAAAAACTCCCTGCAAATGTTTTGTATTCCAGGCCTTAAGAGCGTTGTGGGAAACGAAAGAACTGATCAGATTACCAAAGGCGCCACAAGAAATATATCACTACAAAATGATTGTGGGCCTAATAACAGTTCACAACCTATTGCCATCACACAAGAAGAATGAGCCAGCAGAAATGGTTCGTTATCGCTGATAGTTCCGCTTGAAAGACTATGCAGTGGTCGGCAAGTCTCTTACTGAAGTCAGATGCAAGAAGTTTCAAGTTAACTCAACAACGTACTTTGCAATCTAGCTTGGATTCGTCGGTGAAGGACGCTATGGATTTTTAAAACAGAACTGTTACATTTTCTATTCGTTCCTCTCTAGGATTACTGTTCAGCAAACAGAAGACGGAAGTGATGTAGTCCAATTTTTCAGAGAATGGTGCGTAAGATGCGGTGCCTCCATGGCTGAGTTGCATTTGAAGCGCTACAACTCGAATTTCTCCATATAGGCCTGCCAGGAAAAGCTTAAGCAGAATTTCATAGGCTTTCCATAGCAGCGCACCAGTAAGGAGTATATAGGCCGTCCGATAGACTGTAGAACCTAACCGATACCAGATTTCATATATTACACCCTCTCATGGATCACTTAAATATCCAAATCAAAAAAGAACCTTGAACCCACTGAATTTACAGAAGTTTTCTTTGGCAATCTCCCATTGGGTATTCTGTTTATTTACTCGACATCAAAAATTATTTGTTCTTTGCCGGTTATCTAAATTTTTTGTAAAAGTTTGTTGGTTAATAAATATTTTGTAAAAAAAATTACATAAAAATAGTCATAATAACTAATTTGTGAGTTTATTTGTAATATTCCGATTATCTTAGTGAAGCATTTTCAGTATGCCTTCAAAGATCACCACCCTCGCACAAACCATACACTTCAAAAATAAGAAGAAGAAGCTTTACAACATTTCACCGCTCTTCCAATACAATTACTACAAACATCGCTGTCGCGTTAAGAACGCCAAGAAATTCATCGACAATGCACCGCCTATTTTACATTTGACAAACATAATGAATCTGAAGAATAACTATATCGATATGTCGGCCATTTCGGGTATGATGCGCACGAATACGGAAATGTTGGAATTTTTCGGTCGTTTGAATATTTTCGGACGCAAGGAGTCGTGGAATGACTCGCATGATGCACAATGGCGCTACTCGCGCCTCGCCTTTATGCGCAGAGTTGTCGAAGCTATAGAGAAAGAGAACCAGTATATAGCAAAGCGTGTTTTGAATGCACAAAAAAAGATAAATACCCATTTGAAACCGCTCTCAGCAAGTGTGGGGGATTTTCGTACGCCGAAAGAGATTTTAGCTAAATACAAATCTGAAGTCATTTTACCACCCAGATGCGGTGATCAGCAATTACTCTTACGCCCGATAGTGTACTTCGATATGGAGGTTGTGGGTCTTTATCCCATCGGTCGTTTTATCATACAACTCTACACTGAGGCCTTTCCGCAGGCTGCATTGGCATTGGTGCGTACGTGTAAGGAACAGAAATTGCGTAAACTAAGACTCGTACGGGCCTTTCCCAATCTTTGGGCGGAATTCGAATTGAGATTGGATGCAAAAGATACCGCATTGGCGGCGGACTCACACATCGAGTATGATAAACGTGCGCTGAGTAAAAATTTCAAAGCGGGCACATTATCGTTTTCCTTAAAACATATCGACACACTACGTAAGGGCATTTTGAGTTTTGCGCTTAGTTTTCGAACACTGTCGGTGGAGATGAAAGAGCGTGTGGCGTTTGGTGTTTTGATTAGAGGCAAACGTGGACTCTATTTGTTGGAGAGTAACGGCACTAAGAATGGCAAGCCGATGAAGAAAGTTATCGCAACGGAGATGGGTGTGAGTTCAAAAATTTAAGCACCTGAAGAGTAGGCGATCAAAAAACGTGGACTTTCTTTAATGAAGCGTTTCTCACTCAAGGAAGCTGCTTAAGATTAGAGTTAGGTATCCACCTAAAGCTCACTATAAAAGTGTTAAGTCAGGCAGTAGTATATCTCGTCAGCCGCTACTTTTTATTGCCTACCTTAAGTTCGAGGAATTCGTAGGTGCTACCAGACAGATGATTCGAAGTTTTCATGAAACATATATCTATCTTTCTGAAATCATTGTTCTTTGTTACACAGTTTTTGAATAAATTTAAAGCTTGTCGAAATTATTAGAGTATTGCAAGGCCTTGAGAGTACTCTTTGTAAGTGCACATACTTCAAAGAGATTTAAGTAATTGCTGTCTTTCATACCCTCTGAGTGCACTCAACAACAACTGGGCTAAAAGAGGTCTGTGGAACGACATACAATTTCTTTGCGTTTATCCGACAGCAAGGCAATTTTTTCAAGATTTTCAAAAATATTTAAAGGCTGATGAGGTATGTCGCACGTAGCGATCGGCTGTTAGTATAGTTTCCAGGCTGGAGATAGTCATGAAATACTGACCTCTCTCTGTGACCGGAGCCCAAAGCGTACCGCTTTTATGAACAATCATCCAGCCTGCTTAAATGTAAAGAAAGTAAAATATCAGGAGAAGACGAACGCAAATACACAACCGAATATCAAAAGCTCGCATGAAGAACAGAAAAGCTGCGAGAGCCGATGAGCTATTCAAATATGTTGACGAATGACTGATAAAGTGCATGGTCGGATGATGGTGCGAACTTTCACATGATAAAACACCCAAAATGTTGATAATTCCGTATATTTGGGAACTCTACTGAGCCAACGAAGAATCGCTTTTGTCAACTTCTGAATAGCCAATTAAAAATTGAAGTTCGCTCATGCCAAAGAATATCCAGCTGACCTGTAAACCTTATCACTACCATCGTGCCGTGTGATTTAAGAGCCCATATACAAAGAGTCAGTATTAGGAGCTTTCGAAAAAAGTGTTTTTTTACGGTCCCTAGCATTTTACCAACGGTGAATATGATAAATCTCTGTTCAATAATTTAAAACTTTAAAGGCACAATTTTGAAAAAACCCCAAGAATCTCTAGAATTTCATTTTAATATTAGTCTAAGCTTCCTCGGAATGACTGATAAGTGACTGCATTCAGAAAAAAAATTTTAAATTAATATTTCATAATTTAGGACTCAAACCTGATCCTGCAAATCGTAGAGCGCAGTACTAACCTCCTGTTCACTATTAATTAATAATGTTTTAATTTCTTATTATTATGATTAATTAAAATAAATATATTATTATTAATCAAATTACAATTAATCGTGAATTTAATCATTAATCGGAAACATTTTTTTTTACTTATTCCTTAATTAATTTTTTAATTAATTAATTTAATTTTTTTTTAATTATCAATTGGGTTTGAATTAATCAGTGGAAGCGATTAATTGAGTCATTTCGAAGATTAATCGACCATTGTTATTCCTCAAAATCACAATTCAGCTTTAAACGTGGCAATGACATATCAAATTCAAATAACAGTTTTCTGCTCTAAGGACACCAAACCCAATTTAATACTGCCCCATTATCAATGTAGGGAAAATCTACGCTTGTGTTACTTGATATTTATATTTTATATGATTTGCCATCAATCAATACTGCCACTGATTGAAAATACATACAAACATATGTGTCGTTTGTAGGATGAGATGTAATGGCTTTAATCCACATGATGAAAATAAATACTGGGGCATCTTTAAGAATTGCACAATAAAATATAAATTTATTTTCAAAAATATTATCGAGTAATATTTAAATAATAATATAGATATTTTTCCATGCCCCAAAAACAAGTAAATTGATTTATGATTTCATGCAAAGATCTGGGTCAAATTTTTCTTGGGTACTTTAAAATCTTGAATTTTCCATTTCATTTCAATTTTGAGAAAATTCCTTATATCTAAACCACCCTTTATGCATATAAACACTACTGTGCTATCTTTATCTGACGGTAATATCCATCATAAACTCACAGTATTGGCAATCAATAGAATTTCACGCTATGCTAATCAAAAGCATTTTGGCATTAGTGTAAAGTTGAATGATTCGACTGAGCCATGGCTGAGTCTGGCCAGCCACATCCCTACCATTGAGTGCTTATATACATATGTATATATGTATATAGTTCGTCAGCAATGTGGGTTGGATTTTTTCACATTCGTACATACATATGCCTGAGTATATACATCCATATGTATTTATTACTTTACTTATTCTTAGATTCTATATTTTCGTTTTATGGTTGTTGTTGGCGGTGTTGGTAGCCATCGCGTGTCCTTTATTTGAACAACATTTTTACACTTGTATTTGTAGCTGTTTTTTATGTGCATACACTTATCGATGGATTTTTTACCGCTTAGAGAGCAACTGATTCTCGCAGGTGTAAGCAAAGGTGACTAATAATAATTGAACGACTGTGTATGTAGTAGTAGTCACTTGAAGGTTACGCGTTATATACGAGTACGCAGAGCTTATAAAAAAGTTGCGTTTGGTTAATTCGCTTACCAGGAGGCTCGGTCAGCAGAAGCTATTTTTAAAATGAAGTTGAAACAAAGGTTATTTGATTTGAAGGCGATAATTTACAGCATTAAAACAAATGCAAAGGATTTAAATAAATAAATAATAATAAAAATATTAATAAAAACATTAAAAAAATAAAAAAAATAATAATTAAATGAAATCAAATAATACAAAATTAAGTAACTAAAATAAATCTAATAAATTTAATTAAATTAAATTAAATAAGATTAAGTTAAGCGAAAAAAATATTTAAATATATATTAAAATGAAAGAAAATAAGATAAAATTAAATTAACTGAAATGAAATAAACTGAAAAAACATAGAAACTACTAAATAAAACATTAATGGTTTAAATTAAATAAAATGAAGCCAACCAAAAAATATTAAATGAAAATATATTAAAAAAAACTATTAGAAATTAAAATAAATGAAATTAAATAATAACATACTAATTTTAAATTAAATAAAAAACATTAAATAAAATAAAATGAAATAAAGTAAACAAAAAAAAATTAAATAAAAACAAAGTAAAACAAAACAAAATACAATAAAATAAAATAAAATGCATTAAATAAATTAAAAATAAGATAATATAATATAAAAAATAAAAAGGCAAAACAAAATGGAAATTAAAAAAAATTAAATTAAGTGAAATAAACTAAAACTAAGTAAAGTAAAATGAAATCAAATAAAAAAAAATTAAATAAACAAAATTACATACACAAATAAGTAAATTAAGTACAATAAATAGAATATAATCAAAATAAAATAATATTAAAATAATATCGTAAAATAAAATGAAATTAAATAAAACTTAATTAAATAATTTCAGCAAAACAAAATTAAATACAATAAATTAAATTAAGTAAAATTAAAATAAAATAAAAAAAATTAAAAAAATACAGTAAACTTACTTAAGTAAACAAATTAAAATAAAATAACATCAAGTGAAAAAAGGAAATTAAAAAATATAATAAACACAACTAAAATTAAACTAAAATTAAATTAAATTAAATTAAGAAAAACAAAAAAAAGAAAAAATGAAACAAATTAAATTCAAATTTAACATAATTACATAAAATTAATCACCATAAAATAAAATAATTAATATAAAATGAAAGGAAACAAAAAAAGAATAAATATGAAAATATAAAAAAATATTTCTGTTTTCTTATTCAATTTAAATAAACAGGAGCTCCTGAAGATGCTAAAATATTTAGTGGAATAAGTTTTTAGTATTTGCACCAGCTCAGCTGAGCCTGATTAATCAATAAAATCTCTTAATTATTTAAATTGATCGCGTAAGACAAATTAAATTAAGTTAAATTAAATTAAATAAATTAAATTTAAATAAAATTAGATTCAAAAAAATAATTAAATTAAATAAAAAATTTAAATATAAAGGAAAATAAAATCAAATTAAATTAAAAAATCTTAACTAAACAAAAACAAAATAAAATCAACTATATTTTTTTTTTAATTTCTACCCAGTACAGTATTCCACGTTACGTTATCTTGATTTTAATATACATACATATACTACCTCACGCCACCAAAAATATATTTCGCAAATCATTGTCTCACAAATAAGAGGTGTGTCTAAAGATAATACCTTATCAACTGCAGGGATACATATGTACATACATATTTCAAGAAGGCAAGACACACCCAATAAGCTGTGATTATTTATTGCAAAAATATATAGAGGTCAAAAAGATCTAAAATATTATATAATAAAATATTCTCTCTGGAGTTGCCGAAACCAACCAAACCAATTTTGTTGTCGAGGGTGTTATGTATGGCGCCACACGTTTGCCATTCGCAAATTATTGATAAGCGTTAAACGTAATGACATTCGCCAGTCGAATTTGATGCTACAAACTTATATTTATGTTTTTCTGAATGTAGAATTATTTATATATTCACCATCAAAAACAAAGAGAAATCAACACGCGTCTATAATGAACAACAAAATCTATATATGCTCCCGTTTTGATATGGGGCGCGTGCTGTTTGTATTGATTATTAGTTGTGTTGGAAATAAATTTATGAAAGAAAATAATAAAGATTCTTTGGAACACTCCTGCAGTGGCTCCTCTATATTTAAAATACTCGAATTTTTGTATGTATTCTTTTTTGAATTTTCTAGTTTCTCAGAAAAATTCATTAAAAAAATTGTAATCCCTCGTTTCTAGCAAATTTTTCAAGCTTAATAGGGGCCTACTCGTATACACTTATGCAACCTCAAGGCAAAGCAAAAAACTACCAGTGATTGCGATACTAATTGGGAACTCAATCAGATATCTTAAACAGAACCGGTTTAGTTTCCCAAATAGAAGTCCAAGCTCATCAGAAGATCTGTAGCTTCGACCGGAAAATTTTCAAAGTGCTCACTGTTCTTATAATCAGACTTCAACAGCTAACGGTGTTCGCAAAATTGTACTATGCAAAGTTTATCATGAGTTTTTTCGGCGATTATACTTTCTAGAGCTACAAAATACGCAAAACTGGGAATTCGTCGAATGCACGATGTGATGACTTATGAAATTTCCAAAAAATCGATCTTTTTCATATTTCGGTAGATTACACTTTTAGAAATAACACAAATCAATATCTCGATATCTCAAATAGCTTTTGAGTTATAGAAATTTAAAGAGCAGCCGGCAGGTAGAGAGTCTCATTAGCTACGA